AAACTTAATCGGCCTCCCCCCCTCCCCCCCAGGAAAAAAGCCACAAAGGGTCCCCTTGGAAATCTACCTTCCTTAAGCAAACAGAAATGTGTAGTCTCCAGATGGCTAGGGAACCCAGCATGGCTCTCTCTCTCTCCTCCTGCGTTTGATGGTATCAAGCCGCTCCCCCACCCGGGGCGGCCGATGGGCAGGCAAAGGAGGAAACGAGGCCGCCAGGCTGGTTGGTGATCAGTTGCCGTTTATTCCATTCTCCCCACCCACCTGATCCAGTCTCACTGACCCCCCCATTCTAGTCTCACAATGCCCCTCATTCCCGTCTCCTCCTGTCTCTCCCGCTCATCTGAGCTCCCTCTCGCAGCCACGTCTCTTGTCTCTCCACACACCTGCTCCTGAATTCTTCCCCTGCATTCTTCTCCCTCTGTCCCCCTTGCTTGTCTCTCCGCACTCCATCTTGCCACCCAGTCCTCTCTCTTCTTTCTCCCCAACTCCCCGGGACGTAGTAACCACACCCTGTTCTAGCAAAATCAACATATGAAAGCCCTTCTTGATCACTGGTCAGGCTCAAGGGAGAAAATACTACCTAGGGGTGTTTCTCCTTGGCTTAGTCCAATAACTTAATTAGCATCTTAATTAACATCTTAATTAACATCTTAATTCTACTTAATGTTATTTTGTATAGACACAGTAAGAGATACATTGAGCTTGTAGGGTGGCTCTCCTGGGGACATCTCGCTATAGATCTCAGACTACAGTGCTCAGGCCAAATTAGTCTTTCTGAAACCTAGATGCTACTTTTTTTTTTATTTTTTTTTATTAAAAATTTTTTTAATAGTGAAACATCATGAGGTACAGTTGCAGACTTACACATTTTTATGCTTGGGTTTCAATTATAAGTAAAGGTAAGGTAAAGGTAAAGGCCCTCCCGTTGATCGTCGATTTGCTCGAGCGGGCCCAGTAACGTCTCCATTGGAGACTTTGTTGTTACTGTGTCTGGCATATCGAATACTCTCGGTAGCTTGCCGGGCTCTCCGAGAGGGGCGGAGGAATCGAACTCGGGTCGGCCATGTTGGCTGCTTGTAAGGCAAACGCCCTACCGCTGTGCTATCAATACCCATCCTAGATGCTACTTTTTGGATCATGACAGCATTTGTCCATGACCATGCTCTTAACTTAAAGTTAAGTATTTTGGCGCTTTGGCCAGGCCCACTTGGATGCCAGGGTAGCTCACTGCTTGCCCTGGGTCCATACAGTCCCTCGTTGGGACCCTGCTTTTGGGATGCTAGGAAGTAAGGGGACCAGGGTTGAATATCAATAAACTCCCAAGTTACAAAAGCATGGCATTAACTGTCTTCTTGTGTCTATACAAAAAGGACATTGCTCTGAATTAACTATGCAAAGGACTTAAAAAGAAGAGAAAAGCAATATTTACACGTTAACAGAGCACAAAGAGGTTACAAATAAACACAGAGGAATGGGATGGGAGTAACCCAATAAACCTAAGCTCCCAATGGCAAGGCAGAAAGGACAAAGCAATGTTATCCTATATAGAAAGTGCCATCAACTGCACTCAGTGCTACTACTGACACCTCCTGGATCATCCCAGTACCCCTCTTGGGGTGAGGGTAATATCTCCCACTTTGAGAAGTGGCTCAGTGGCTAAAAGCATCTGCTTTTCCAAGTGTGAGGCCAGCAGTTTGATCCCTGGTGGTGCTCACATGTGAAGAGTGAGAGCCAGTGGCTCTGCCACTTGGGACACCTGGCGACACAACCGAATGTGTGAGCTCCTGTGCCCAGCTCAATAAACGAGGCCCAGCCTAGCAAACACTGAGGCTAGATGTATGAGCACTGTGGCCAGGAGTGAGTAGCACAGTGTCCCTGGTGAACAGAAGTAAGATGTACAGGAGCACTGTTCCAGGAGCACAGCAGGGGAGCTCTGAGGCCAAGTGCAGGAGCAACTGAACAGGAGCCCTGGGCAGCCTGGTCAATGGGGCCCCAATGGGCCACAATTGATTGCTCTGCACAGGTGTACATTTCCCTTCCTCACGTGGGAGCTGGACGAGGGATTCTTTGCTTGCAAATCCCATCGAGGCAGGAGGCTGTCTCTTTCACAGTAGGTGACAAACTGATGGTGTCTCGCTGGGCTCCTGGTGGCTTGCTTGCTCCGATGGGCCCTGTAGCTTCATGGGGAGGGCTCCGGGGAGAACCCGTGTGACAGGGCACAGATGGAGGCTGCCCGCCCACTACTCAGTAGCTTGCTACCGCCTCAGGTGACACATGGCTTCTCCCTGAGCCACTCACCACAGCCCTGGAAGGGGCACCCCGCTAAGGGGCTCCTGAAATCCAGATGCATCAGGAGGGTCACTGAGGTCCTCTCTTTCCACGTGGTTGGGTTTGGTGGTAACACCTGGGACTGCCCCAGGGACCTCTCCCGACTCTGAACTTGGGGTCGCTCCTGGCAGTCTGGGGACCCATGTGAGCCTCAGGCATGTCAGCATGTGCTCTTGCCTGCTGTGCGAGCCAGCGAGTGGTATGCTGTAAGCTGATAAGATTTGGGCACTTTGTTACAGAGGAAGTTAGCCACGTGATGATCTGGGGGAAGGGCGCGCAGGCTGAGGGCAGAGCTGGGGCACAGGCCCTGACATGTGAGGAAGAGCCAGGAGGCCAGTGTAGAAGAGGTAACCAACCAAGGGGCCAAAGGGCAGCTGAGGTCGGAGAGGTCACCGAGGGTGAGATGGCCAGGGGTCCAGTGGATTAGGATAGGAGCTTGGACCATCATTTGATTTTTTTTTTTTTTTGGTGGGGGGATGTACAGTGCTTAGGGATCACTGGCGATCAAGGTAAGGTGATCAATTACTGCTGTGGCATTGCTAATAATGGGAAGTGACCCCTGATTGAGCAGGTTCCTAAGACCCTCTTTGGCTGTGGTCTCCGGCCAAACAGTTCCCCAGAGCACTGTCAGGTATAACTGGAGCTTCCCTGGATGAGGCCACACCCGCTCAGGTAAGATGGTTCTTAGTTCTCCATGTGAAGACCCCAGACTCTCCATGGCTTTGCCTTTAGGAGGAGGCATTTCCCCACGAACACCAACAGCACAGCCGGCTGGCATCTTGCAAACGCCTCACAAATTCTCAATGATCCTCCACTGGGCAAATTCACTGAGGACCATACTGTTTTCTTTTCAAGCCCTTTGTGAGTATCACTATATTTTTCAAAGCTGTGCCTCAAAAGTCATGGTTTGGGCAAGAAAAGGCAAGAGACAGAGACTTCTGAGAGTGCATGGGACTGCAGCTGGGACAGGGAATCTTCTTACTCTACATCAGTGAAATCCCCAGTCTAACTCAGGATGAGCACTGCCAGCTCAATGGAGGCTTTAGACTAAATCATTTGCTAGTAAACATTATTCATGTATGACAAATTGTGCTGAAATCAACCAATGGCAACAATCAGGAGATGCTTGTGATCCTAAATCCTAATCCTAAGGATCCCAAATCTATATGAGAAATGAAAGGAAATATTATTTGAAGAGTGGATAAAGGATTGACCTTCAGTGTGCCTTCTGATCGCTGGTCAGAAAGACTGCTACATCATGGTTACTGTGAGAGCTTTAGACTATGCTTTGATATACACAGACTGGGAGGCAGAGAGAAAAGAATCTCACTTTATTGATTTTGCTTTTTTAAAATACATATATATTTGAGCCACATTCTGCTCAGGGCTTAGTCCTGGTTCTGTACTTAGGGATCACTCCTGGTGGGAATCTGGGTACCCAAATATAGTAGAGTGGTAGGGCATTTGCTTTGCAGGCAGCTGACCTGGGTTCAATCTCTGGCTCCCCATGTGGTCCCCTGAGCACAAAGAGAAAGACCCCTGAGCTCAGAACCAGGAGTAAGCCCTGAGTACAGCCAGCAGTACAGTCCCCCATTCAAAAAATTGCTCATTTTACAATGGCAAGATAAGCCCCAGCAAAGGCTCCATTGGAAACAAGCACCTGGGGCTGGGAGTAGGGGACCATATGGGATGCCGGGGATCAAACCTGGGTCAGCCACATGCAAGGTAAGTGCCCTCCCTGCTGTACGATTGCTCTGGTCCCCAACATATGCTATTTTCAGTCTAAAGTTTATGCCTACATAGCTTCAGATTCATTCTATTTGGTAAAATAAAAGTAAGGCTCCGAGTTGAATAATTATCAATAAGTGAATATCAGCATTATCCAATCTGGAAGCAGTGTCATTCATGAAAGGCTCCGATGTATAAATATAAAAATATTTACTTGAGGGGCTGGAGCAATAACACAGCGGGTAGGGCATTTGCCATGCACGTGGCCAAACAGGGCTTGATTCCCAGCATCCCATATGGTCCCCTGAGCACTGGCAGGGGTGATTCCTGAGTGCAGAGTCAGGAGTAACCCCTGTGCATCGCCGGGTGTGACCCAAAAAGCAAAAAAAAAAATTAAAAATATTTACTTGATCTTGGGCTGGAGCGATAGCAAGGGCTGGAGCGATAGCACAGCGGTAGGGCATTCGCCTTACAAGCGGCCAACATGGCCGACCCGAGTTCAATTCCTCCGCCCCTCTCGGAGAGCCCGGCAAGCTACCGAGAGTATTCGATATGCCAGACACAGTAACAACAAAGTCTCCAATGGAGACGTTACTGGGCCCGCTCGAGCAAATCGACGATCAACGGGAGGGCCTTTACCTTTACCTTACTTGATCTTCAGAAGGCTAGAGCAATAGTATAATGGATAGGGTGCAGTGCTTGCCTTGCACACGGCTAACCAGGGTTTGATCTTTGACACCCCACATGGTCCCCAAGTCTTGTCCGGAGTAATCCTGAACACAGAGCCAGGAGTAAGCCGTGAGCATCACCGGGTGTGGCCCAAATACTAAAGACACTCTCCATCCCCTGCCAAAACAAAAAGTTCTTCAGATGCTTTCACATTCAAGGTACTCTCTTGAATCAAATGCAAAAAAAAAAAAAAAAAAAAATTAAATAAAGGTGGTCCCAAAGTCCTCTGGGGACTATGGTTTGGAGCATAATGAGTGCAAATTAATATCGATGGTTAATAGTTCTGGAAATCTTTGTGAAAATATGTGACAGGCTAAGCTAACACCAACAAACTCAATTCCCTCCAATCCATACAGTATTGTTACTTCCAATGGCTCTTCTGCTGTTACTGAGATGCCATCAATGGATACTGAGCACCAGCTCTGTCACTCGTGGTGTGCTCGGCTAACCTGTCCCTAACAGACACAAAGTCCCAGGTGAGCAACCCTCTTCTTCGGCACAGAGGTATGCTCTTCCAAGCTGTCCGTATATTCTCAGTACCTTATTCTTAACGTGGCTTGGAGAAGTCTCCTCAATGTTCTGGTTGGCAGGTTTTGTACAGCATCACTGAAAGCAGACACAGATATTCTGGGTCTGCCACAAGGTTCTCTTCTTTGAAGACGCCTTGAACATTCATTCTCTTGAGGGCTGTTGTTTGACTCATTCCCTCAATGAAGGCTTAGGAACATGAACACGGAACAGAATTCCAAACTGTTCCGCAGGCCCTGGGCTGTGGTCTGTAGAATTCTTAGTCTCCTGGCTGACATGCTTCCTGCCTCCGAGGTTCTCTTAAAACAGAAACGGCAGGAAAGCTTTCCTATGCTTTGGGTAGGAGACAAATTTGCTTCTGTAGAAATGGTGGCTGAGGAGAGCAGATAGGGCCTGGCTGCAGAAGACGTATGTCACCACGAGCCACCAAGTTAAGTTCTGGAAGCCAAAGGTGACGGCCATGGAGATGTAGATCATCAGCTCTGCCAGGTAGTTGGGGGAAGAGACGTACTCGAACCAGTCTCCAAATGGGATGCGGTGGTTGCAGTGAATGACCACGCCTGAAAGGCACAACGACATCCTAAACAGCTGCGCTTGCAAAAAGAAAGCTACCACGCCACCCGCAAATCATTGACAGGAACCCTGAGTCAGAAAAGAGCACCCCAGAACTGCACAGGCCTCTCTATTTGGCCTCCTGTGCGCTGCCTAGCTGCTACACAGGCCAAAGTCACGTGTCTCCATGGCTCAATCTCGAACGGGCTGAGAAGCACAGAAAGAAAGAACATCCCTCCAACGATCCCCTGGGTTGGTACCGGGTTCCACCATTCACTAGCTTTGTCACTTCAAATAGGGTTGGTTGGTTGGTTTGTGTCTCAGCCTCACCCAACTGTGCTCTGGGGCTTACTCCTGGCTCTATGCTCAGGGATCATTCCTGGTTGTGCGTGTGTTGGGGGGGGGAACCGTATGTATAAGGTATCAGGGATTGAACCAGGGCCAGTTGAATGCAAGGCAAATGTCCAACTCATTGTACTATCTCTCCAGCCCCACATCAAGTAGATTGTTGAATCGCTCTGTGTCTCAATTTCCAAATCTGCAAAAGTGGCTAAGAACATACCCACCTTCAAGGAGTTTTGTGAAACTCCACGCAAGGCACTGTTAATACATCACTCCATGCAAAAAACTGGGAGCGAGGGTGGGGTGAGTGGGGGGCAACCACCCAGTGTAGCTCAGGGAAGGAACCCAGGGTTGTTGCACACAAAGCATGGCCCCCAGCACTCTAGACTATCTCCCTGCCCGCCCCCCCTTGCTCTAATTGGTGGGCGTCGAGGGGCTATGCCCGGTGGTGACACCCAGAGCTGACTCCTGGCTCTGTGATCAGGGATCATTCCTGACAGGGCTCAGGGTACCATACTGATGCTGAGGATTAAACCCAGGTAAGCCGCAGGCAGGGCACAGATATGCCATCCGCTGTTATCTCTCTGTACTATCAGTTTGTATTTTAACCTTTTGGGCACTTTTAATTATAGAGGTGCCGTGTTTGTTTTAAATGTAACATTGGGAAAGAGACAAGGTGGGAGTGTAAACAAGCTCTGTGTCTGCGATCCTATCTGAAGCCACCTCAGTGCTCTGTATACCACCGAGGCTTACTCCTACATAAAATATACTGCTTTTAGATACTGCACCATTTCCCCCCAAATATGTCAGCACTCAAATGCATGTTTCTAAAAGCCCAATTGAAGGGCTGGAGATACAGTAGAGCGGGTAGGGCATTTGCCTTGCGGGTGGCTGACCTGGTTCAATCTCTGGTGGCCCACCGAGCAGCAAGAGGAGAGACCCCTGAGCTCAGAACCAGGAGTAAGCCCTGAGCGCAGCCGGCATAGCAGTCCCCCACTCAAAAAAATGCTCATTTTACAATGGGCAGATAAACCCCCCAGAGAAGGCTCCCTCAGAAACAAGCATCTGGGGCTGGGAGTGGGGGGAGAGTACAGTGGTTAGGGCACATGCTGGGCATGCACCTCAACCCAGTTTGATTCCTGGTGCCACATGGCCCCTTATAAGCATTATTGGGTGAGTCCTGGAGGACCTGGGGCACCACCAGGTGTGGCTCAGAGAGTCTTGGGAACTCCTGGGGAGGCCTGGTGGGCAGACAATTGTCAGTGGGGTCCCGCGTCTCCTGAGCACTGCTTGGGAGCCCCCAACCAAGGGAACAGACCAAAATAATCAGGTATCTGACAGACAGATCAACGGAGAGGGCAGGAAGGGAAAGGAATAAAGGAACCTGAGAGCTTACTCCCCGGGGCCGGAAGGCAAGCGCGGAGACTACGGCGAGGCTCACCTGCTTTGTTTTTCCTGAGGTTGCCGAGGATGACGTGGCACCGGTACTGATGGACGGACGACCAGACAAACATCATCATTCCGAGGATGTGGAACCAGCGCGTCTGCGTCAGGAGGCTTTTCCCTCTCACGTAGGCTACAGGGACGGGAGCAAGTGTTGGGGCCAACCCCGCCAAACGCCGGAGAGGCAGAGAAGGGGCAAACGGGAGTGTGGGTGGAATACGACTATCCAGGTACCCAGGAGACGGGGATAGCAGGCAGAGCCCCAGCCCTTAGGTGGGGCATTCTCACCCCGGGCAGTGTCTAAGGCCCAGCACAGGCTGAGACTTGACGTCCACTTCCTCCTGCTCCTCTTGACACACCCGGAGGAGCGCGGTGGCGCCTGCCATGTTCAGTGTTCTGAAGGAACAGGCTACTTTGCCCTTCTACTGCTTCTTTTGGTCTCCTTAGTTCCAGGAGAAGCGTTGCCCTCTCTCTCTCTCTCCCCCCTCACCAACCAGAGACAGGAAGAGAACAGGCCCCTGTGAGGAGGGCTGGGAGCAATGCCCCCAGCCTTGGGGAAGTGAATGAAGGATGAGCAGGAAGGAGGCAGGCTGGCTGGCACCTGGCTGGAGAAGCAAAGCTGGACTGGCCACAGCGAAAAGCCTGAGCTAAGAAGGAGCAAGTACCGGGGTGGAGTGGGGGTACATCACTACAAAGCCCCCCCCCCCCCCCCACGCCAGGAAGTCACTCACTTCCCTGGGAACAAAGTTCTACAGGAGCAGGTCCAAACTATAAGGCAGAAAAAGGGAAGGCAGGGTCCTAACTACGTGTGTGTGTGTGTGTGTGTGTGTGTGTGTGTGTGTGTGTCTGTCTGTCTGTCTGTCTGTCTGTCTGTCTAGCCTGAGTGATACCTAGTTACTTGGTTGTTATGTTACCGAGTATCTGCCGGCCGTGGTACTGCTGCAAGCACGAGGGACATAATGAGACAAGTCGGGCAAAATCCCAGTCTTGTCCTTCCAGGGGGTGGAAGGACAAACTGGGAAACACACAGGCAAGCCAGACAATGCTGGGCAGAGCCAGCTCTCTGGAGGTGTGACGAGGTGAGTGGTCTCTTGAGGAAGCCCAGGGGTTCCAGGTACAGGGTGTGAAGCCCCGGGAACTGAGCGGAGGACCTTTCCCTTCACTCTGCACAACCGGTTGCAACCAAGCACAATCTCTCCCTAATCACAGAGGGTCACTGAGCTGGAATTCTGACTTCCTGGCCCGGGTGACTTCTAGCTGACCTTGGGAGCGGTCAAAGCCCCAGAAGCACTCACTCTCAGTACATGCTGAGACCAGTTCTCCGCAGTGCCCAGATCACCCTGATGACTCACGGAGGGCAAGTAAGTGAAACAGAAAATAGCCTTAGTGAGGCCTGTGTCGGGAGTGCTCTTGGTGGGTGTCTCTGTTGCCTTTTTGTGGCTGTTCTACAGGAGACGGCTATGGGTGGCTGTCCCCCTGGGGAAGTTTCGGAAGACATCCAGACACTGGAGGACAGGAACACAAGCAGGCGACCGAAGTGCTCTGGGAAGCTCCCATGGGTGGAAAGACTCTGGTTCACCAGGAACCCAGTGACGCTGGCCTGCTGAGCTCACCAACACCACAGCAGAGAGATCAGGAAGGAGGGGCCGGAGCCATATGACAGTGGGGAGGGCATTTGCCCTGCATGTAGCCCACGAGGGTTTGATTCCGGGAACCCCATAAGGTTCCCTGAGCCCCACCAGACATGATGCCTGAGCACTCAGCCAGGAGTCAGCCTTTGGTATTGCCAGGCGTAGCCCAACCTTTTTCCACACACACACAGACACACACACATACACACACATACACACACACACACACAAACACACACATACTCAGAAGAGAAAGATCAGGGAGGAAAAACAGACTTGATTCCATGCAGACAAGTTGGGGGTGCAGATGTGAGGTGAGTGGCTGGGCCAAGGAAAACGTCACGGAAAGAGTCAGTGAGTCAGTCCTTCCGAGTGAGGACCTCATGAACCTCAGCTCGGGAGAAGTCTTTGAGCTCAGTGGCAGTTCCCGAGTCCCCAGTCAGGCTCGTTCCCTACCTCCCCTTGCTCCCCGTCTGGCTGATACTCTCCTACTGCACACTTGTCCCAGTAAAACACCACTGTGATCAGATGGAACTGCTCTGAGTCACTGAGGGAAGCGACTGCACAGACAGGAAGGGAAGTGAACATCTCGCACGCCAAGGCGAGGCCGTTATGGAGACCCTGGTCTTCTCGAAGGAGGAGGGGGAGGGCGGGGCAGGGCAGCTTAGGAAGGGTAAAGGCTGGACCAGAGAAAACAGCCCTGACACAGTGATCTTACAGTGCATTAAAAACCCAAGTCCGAGTTCGGAGTGTAATCTGGAAATCTCCTTGGCTTTAGTGAATAATTCAAGAATCAGGCCGCATTCTATGTAGCTAGGAGGAAGGAGTTCTCAGTAGCTGTACAAAATGGGAAGTTTGTCAAGCCAGAAAGAGGGTGAGATACTGTTACTCGCTGAAGAAAAGAAGGATTATTAGGGTCCAGGATACAGTTCATGAGGTCCTCAGACCATGGACAGAGGCAGGTGTGAGGTCCTGGGTTGGACTCTTGGGGAAGGAAGAAAGAGAGGAAGGCAGATGAAAGAAAGGACGGAAAGTAAGAAGGAAGTCAGAGACTGTCCTGGCCACTTCAGATTTTAAAAGTCTGGGTTGGAGAGACCAGTCCAGGGGTTAAGGTGTTTGCTTGGCACACATCCAAGTCAGGTTTGATTCCCGGCACCACAAAGGGTTCCCCAACCACCGCCAAGAGTGATCCCTGAGATGGAGGCAGGAATGCACCCTGAGCACCACTTGGAGTGGCCCAAAAGACAAACAATCTATCCCCAAGAGTTAACTCCCAACTGTCTAAATTGTAAGGACTCCAACGTCAGCAGCAAAGCCTGTAGTACAGATGATGAAGGATTTGGGGGGGACCAAGACAGATCACGGACGCCGGCTCGGAGGTCTGCGCTTCTCTCTGTCTGTCAGCTCCGTTGAGTAAGTCCTACCTTCTTTCAATTGATGTACATTAAATTTTTGAAAGTGTCCATAAACACCCTTTCAATAGACGGCAGTTTTGCCTGTTGACCGAATCACTCGAGTGGACTGTTGCACATACTTGGTGGAACAGTCTGTCCAATGTGACATCCAAGTGTGAACCACTGGTGGTACACGTCGGTGTCAGCGTGTTAAGGATAAAGTGCTGGGGGGTGTGAAGTGGCACTTTCTTCAGTGGAGCTGAAGGTGCTAAGTCAGTGTGGTGTTTGTGCAGAAAAAGAGAGAGTGTGGCCGAGAGTTCAGCAGGAAGTGGGGCACACAGCCAAGAGCAGGAGAAAGGGCCAGCAAGGAAAGTCGCCTCACCATGGCCTCAGTGCCTGGGGCGGGTGGAAGGCAAGGGGGGGGGGAGAGGAGGGTGTGAGGGGGAAGGGAAGCAGAACGTCATCAGAAATTCAAGGAGGAAGGGTGGCCAGGCTCATAAGAAATATCCAAGATTTGGCTGGGGGTGGTGTTTTTTGTTTGTTTGGGAGCCACACCTATGGGGCTCTGGGTTACTCCCGGCTCTGTGCTCCTGGTGGGGCGCTGGGCTCGCTATACGATGCCAGGAATTGAACCCAGACCTCCTGCCTGCAAAGCGTGAGCTCAGCCCACGAGCTCTCTCCGGTCCATGGATAAGAACTGAAATGGGAATACGGAGCCCTCTGCATCTGTTCAGTTCCTGCGATGGCGTCTCTCACCAGCTCACCTCCCAGCGGAGGGAGAAAGGCAGGAAAATAAACAGGGTGATGGGGCGGGGAGCAGGAGTTGGCTCAGAGGGCTGGAGCCCAGGCTCATTGGCACTGCCGGGTCCTGGTCCTTACCACGCCACCGGGAGCGAGCGCCCCGCTCCAAACTGAGAGGAGCCATCCCAGAGCAGCATGGCGTAGGCCCCCTCCCCCACCCGCCCAAAATTGTGTCTTGTGATTTCTCAACTCTTAGAAGGAAGAGACACGACATTTGACCTTTGTTGAGGAGGAGGAGGAACTGGAGTGTGGCTTCTTGGTGGGGCCTATTTAATAAGACAATCATTTTTTTGCAAAAACAATGCATGCTCATAAAGATCTCAAGTCATTTTGTAAACGGAAATCTCCCAAGGTGGCCAGGGCTGTCACTGGCCCTCCAGCTGCCAAAGCCCTTGGTGGTGCAAGGACTTTGCCTGAAAAGTGGACGCAGGGGCTGGAGCAGTAACCCCTGTGCATTGCCGGGTGTGACGCCCTCCCCTCCCCACCCAAAGAAAAAACAGTGGACCCAATCTACGGGGTGAAACAGCCCTGTGCACTCTGGGGCCACTCACCATTCCTGCCGTCCAGGGGCACTTGGCTCAGCACCGTCAGGCCGACGAGGACATAGTAGGAGGCTCCAAAGCAGTAATGCACAAGGTGAATCACGGCGTTGGAGAAGACGCTGACGTAGAAGCACTCAAAGAGTCTTCGCAAGCTGTGCAGCCACAGAAACGCCAGCACGAGGAAGGTGGACAGCGCCAGCTCGCCACCTGCAACCCAGCATGCGGCAGGTCAGGCCTCTCTGCCACCATCATCCCGGGGGCTCCTCCCAGGATATTCCAAAGCACAAGAGGGAGTTTGAACTCGAAACCTGGTGCTTGGTAGGCAAGCCCCTTAAGCCAGTGTGCCTTCTTCCAGGGCTTTTTAATGAACTTATTTTTTTTTTTTTTTTGGAAGGGGGACTTTTTGGGTCATACCTGGCGATGCACAGAGGTTACTCCTGGCTCTGCACTAAGGAATTACTCCCAGCGATGCTCGCGGGACCATATGGGATGTTGGGAATCAAACCCGAGTCAGCCGCGTGCAAGGCAAACGCCCTACACGCTGTGCTATCGCTCCAGCTCTGAACAAACACTTTTTTTCTAAAAAAGCAACTCAACCCACATGCCCAACTCCGAAAACCAGCACCAGGTCAAGGGGCAGGACACGACCACCCACCTCCTCGAGTTCCCTTCCCAGCACCCTCTGCAGGGTAAGCCCCTTCAAACGTGCTTTCTATGGATGTAGATTTGCTTCCGGGTCACATTTCTACTACTATTACTGTGGTCTGGGGAGAAGGAGTGGGGGTCTGGCAGTGCTCAGTGGTCGCTTCTGGTGGTGCTGGGGAATGAAGCTCCCCTCAACCCCCCCAGCTCCTTCCCCTCAGTCCTTGCTGTTCTCTGGATGCTAAGATACAGTCAAGCTAGTTTTACCGTAAAACCTAAATTACCGTACTTACCAGTTTACCCTATGAGAACAAGTTAAAACAACCGAAACATCAAAACTGGCAACCCACCCTCCCCATAGTGGCTCAGAGAGTCATGCAGTGGGTGCGCAGCCCACGTTGCCAGGGACCTCCCCTCCCCCTCCCTGCCTGGTGGCCTGGCCCACCCCTTGGGCCTCTTTTGCAACAAGGTCTGCTGGTTATAGAGAAAGGGATTGTTCTTAGGGAGCCCGTGCTTTCGCTGCTGGGACAAAGGACAGAGACAGAACCAGAACAATTGGTTTCTTATTCGCCCTCCCCCTTCACGCCAGACACTAAACAAGGCCACTCGGGGATTGCCGGCCTTCAGCTTCTCCCTTTAGAAAACTGACATCCTTTCTGGGAGACAGAATTTCAAGGCAATTTTGTGATCATCTGGCCAACGAATGTTTACAGTTAACCTGGGGTGGGGGCGAGGGGGGGTACACCTGGGAGAGCTCAGAGACTCCTTTGGGCGTTGTGCTCAGGGATCACTCCTGAAGGTGCTGGAGGTGGGGGGGAGGGTAGTATGTGGTGACAGGGCCGAACCACAGTTGGCCAAACACAAGGCCAGTGCCCTAAGCCCCGTGCTATCTCTCTGGCCGACTGCAACCAATTTTCATTTCTTAATGAGGCTGTCCAGGGGGCTGGAGTGATAGTACAGTGGGTAAGGTGTGTGCTTAGTACACAGCTGACCCGAGTTTGATTCTCGGCAGCCCATAGGATCCCCTGAGCACCATCAGTAATAATTTCTGAACGCAGAGCCAGGAGATACTCCTAAGCATCACCAGATGTGGCCCCAAAAACCAAAAAGAGAAAAAAAAAAAAGAGGCAAACAAAGATGTAAAGCTGTCTAGTTTGACCATCATTTTTGAGCCATTTTTAATCTTGGGTCTCATTTCTGGAGTTCCGAGAAAGGGCTTTGGCTGGGATAAATATCCCGAGGTAGATGTGTGGGTCTCCCCAAGCTTGCCCCTGCAGCAGAAAGACTTCTGGAGGAACTCGTCAGCCCAAGACAGGGCCTTCAGCGCTGCACCTAGCCCGGTGTGCAGACACACGCCAGGGACATGTGTCCTTCATAGGTCAGTGAAGGACCCGGGCACGACCTCTCTCAGCCCCTCTAGCTACGAACTCTCCCTCTTCTTGCCCTCACCCGAGTCCGAGAGCCGGCCAAGGAGGGGCCTGGGCGTGACGATGCCAGGGAACGGTTCCCTGCGGGCAGGGCAGGTGGGCACAGGAAGCCAGCGCCGCCGTCTTTACCTTGGAATTGGGTGGCCCCAAGAATTCTGAGCAAACCGTGAAGCCAGTGTGGAAAAGGTGCTCCCAGGAACAGAGATTGAGTAAGGCACCAGAGCAGGAAGCCGTTCCACAGCACCGAGATGATGTAGAAGTGAGAAAAATACCTGCAGAGGACAAACAAGTCAGTGAGTAACCTGGAGACTGGCCTTTTGTTCGGGTGGTGGTGACGGTCCTGGGCTCAGACCTGGGGTCTCACGTACGCCAGGCAACTGTGTCTGTTGCAGAGCTCGTCCCGGCACCCACAGATCTGCTCTGCACTGAGGCAGAAAGATTAGAGTTTCCCTGTCTCCTCCCACCCCCCCACCCCCCATCCCTGAAGCACTGCATTTTCTTTGTTCTTTCTCTCTCTCTCTCTCTCTCTCTCTCTCTCTCTCTCTCTCTCTCTCTCTCTCTCTGTGTGTGTGTGTGTGGTAGGGGCACACCTGGCTGTGCTCAGGGCTTACTCCCGGCTCTGCACTCAGGAATCACTTCAAGAGGCGCTCAAGGGAACCATAATGGGTGCTGAGGATCGAACCCAGATCAGCTGCATGCAAGGCAAACGCCTTCTCCACTGTCCTGCGGATCCAGTCCTATGCATTTCGCTTCCATTAGCCTTTTTTTTTTTTTGGTGCCAGGATCAAACCTGGACTCAAGACATATTAAGGATCATGTGTTCTACCCCTGTTGAAGGTCTGGTGAGAGAGAGGCGCACGCCTCTCCTCGAGTAGGGAGCTGCCCTAGCAGCTGGGAGAACAATCCAGATCGAGGAAGCACCACCAGAGGTCCTGAGGAACATGGAGGGTACACATGCGGGCAAGGCGACCAGAGGTCCACTCCTCCCGCCCCAAACCTTCAGTGTTACCACCCCACACCTATGTATCATCATTCATATTATTATTATTGTTTTGGGACACAGCCAGCAGTGCTCCGGGGGCTCTGGAGTACCAGGGATCAAACCTGGGTTGACGGCATGCAAGGCAAGCACCTTAGCAGCTATACTGCTACTCCAGCCCTGAAATCTACCTTCCAGAAGGGAGCTAGCAGCACCCTTTCCACCACCTCCCCCCCCCCATGGAAACTGCTGCCCCCAGACTGATCCACCTGGCTCAAGGAAAAGTATCCCTCCCTTTGCAAGGCCCGGGGCTAGGCAGGGTGGGTCTCCCAGGGGCCTGGGAGGGCGCAGGCATTCCCGTTCGTTCGTGCCCTTCCCCTGCGGCCCACCTGGCTATGCTGGGATCAGCACCCGGAGGGCTACTACTGGGCTCACGCGTGGGCCGGTGGGCAGAGTTCGAGATAGAGCCCGCTGAGCGACCTCTGGGCCTCAACCTGGACTTTATTTTTAATTTTTTGTTTGCTTCTGGGCCACACCCGGCTGTGCTCAGGTCTTCTCCTGGCTCTGCGTTCGGAGAGCACATCTGGAGGTGCACAGGGAACCATACGTGGTTCCAGGGATCGAGTCTGTACTGAGTGCCTTCACCCCCGAACGACGACTCCGGCCCTTGACGTGGGCTTTTGACTGAGTGCCACAGGGATTCTTTTGGCAGAGCGACTCAGAGTAGTGATGCACATGTTCAACCCCCCCTGGCTGGTAGCTGAGCTCTGCAGATGGGCGGTGGGGTGGCGACGGGAAGACGCGGGTGCGGGAGACAGCCAAACGCTGACGTGGCAAATCGCACGCCTCTTCGGAATGAAAAATACAAAGAGCGCTGCTCCTTTACTTCAGTTTGGCTTGTTGGGTTCTCACCCAGCACAGCTTGGGGGAGTGCTAAGCCTAGCCAGGCAGGCCTGATGGGTGTGGTGTTTGGGCCCACGGATGCTCAGGGGTACTCCCGCCACACTCAGAGGAGTTTGAGAGCTCATACAGTGTAAGGGCCTTCACTCCATGCTTTATGTGTGCAAGGCATATGCTCTATTATCCGAGCCTCCTCCCTGGGCAGAATTATGCCTTTAAAAATCAATGTATTTGGTGGTGGGGAGACATCCCGAGTGGTCCTTAGGAGCTCCTGCAAGTTCATTCTTGGCCATCCGGGCTGGTGGTTCATTGCGAGGGACTGAGGATGTGGTGTCATTAAGGTCCTTCAATGTTAGGGATGGGCAGTACTTGGGCGACCAGGTGATGCCAAGGATCGAGTGGAGTGGGTGACATGCAGAGCACACGCTTTAACCCCTCTCCCATCTCCCTGCCCTGCATTCCGCTTTAATTGGGGTGAGCAGGGCCCACTCACGGAGGAGGGAGTCTCGGAACAGAAGCGCAGGAAGTGAAAGCATCAATTATTGTTTTGCAACCTTTTACGGGGGATCGTGACCCGCTTCTGACCTTGCTTCCTTTCTGGGGGAGTGGGGAGGGGCATCCTACTGGCTGACCTCCTGATGCAGTGGCCACCCGTTGCCATCATTTTAACTCATGCCTACTTTAGAATAGCCACATGGCCCATGGTTGAGAAGTGTTGGAATCAGCCAGAACTGCTGGCCTAAACCCTAAGGGCTGGTGTTCTCCGGGGAAGAGCTTCACCCACAGAGGGAAAGGCAGGAACAGGAACACTAAAGCTGGGAGAATGGAAACAGATGGCAACCCCCGAGCTCAGTCTGCAAGAGACAAGGGGGCTGCTGGTCTATTCTTCTTTTCCCACAGACCGGAAAAACGTTGACGACACTGTCACAAAGAAATGACTGTGACTATTCCATTGTAATGCCCAGTCACCATATTCTAATTCGCAGTAAATACTGTTTAGCAATAAATGATTTTAAAGTAATATTGGCACATTAGGTGTGGTAATATGGTGTGGTAATATCATCACACCATATTTGATGGGGTTCAGACAGTAGCCAACAAATCATAGAGGGAAATATATATATATATACACCCACACACACACACACACACATATATATATATATATATATATATATACACACACCTCTTGGAGAGTCTGACAAGCTACTTGGGGAATCCTGCCTGCATGGCAGAGCCTGGAAAGCTACCCGTGGCATATCTGGTATGCCAAAAAACAATAACAATAATGGGTCTCATTCTCTGAAAAAGTCCCAATACGGCAGCATTGGGAAAGACAAGTAAGGAGAGGCTGCTAAAATCTCAGGGATGGGATGAATGGAGACGTTACTGGCTCCCGCCGAGTAAATTGATGAACAACGGAATGACAGTGATACACTGAATGGTCACAGGACCATTAATTTTCACAACAAAAATTAAAATTATTGCCGATTATGTAATTTAGTACAGTACATCCAGCATGTCCTCACTTGGTGCCTGCCCCCGGCTGAGAGATTGGGCCATCGCTACCAATAGGGCAAGCAGGTGCTGTCCTATACCACACATCCACACAATTCTCACCTCTCAGCCAGGGCTCCCCACATGATGGCTTCCCACCAGCTCAGGAGACAACCAAGTCACATGGTTCGTGAGGTCCTTGCCCTACTTCCCACCGTGAGCTCATCTCTGACCTGCTTCTCCCTGACCACTGTACTTCCCAGCTCTCTCACCGCTACCACCTCAGCCCTGCGCATGACCGAGTAACCTGTGCTGTCCTCAGAAGCCTGAGCACTAACTGAAATGATCTTGTTTCATACCATGTTCGCATACATCCTCTGTGTCTTGCCCAACCTGCCGATGATCGTGGCAAGACTGGCACAACACAGAGTCTATACGTATACACGTGTGTATGTATATATGAGTACATACGTTCTCAATGCCATTTTCACAATTCAGAAAACCCAGATATACAGAGACATCTCCCCAGAGCTTGCCCTCAATTCCATGCACAGATCCTCTGACCCTCTGGTGAGACCCCAGACCCACAGCACCCAGCAGGGCCTCCACACATACCCTTCAAAACAAACGAATAAAGGGGCTGGAGTGATAGGACACAGGGTGCTTGCTTTGCAGATGGCAGACCTGGGTTCAATTCTCAGCAGCCCATCTGGTCCCTTGAGCGCTGCCAGGAGTGATTCCCTGAATGCAGAGCCAGGAGTAAGCCCTGAGCACAGCCAGGTGTGCCCCCCCCCCCAAAAAAAAAACCCAGAATAGAGCAACTGCTCATCCCAAGTTACTTGCAAAACAAGTAGTGAAGTCTACCAACAAGCCAAGGAAACCTCAACCCCTTTTTCCCATTTTTGATGTATTCGACATGCCAAAAACAGTAACAACAAGTCTCACAATGTTACTGGGTCTGCTCGAGCAAACCAATGAACAATGGGAGGATAGTGACAGTGATTCAAAACATATTAAGGAATATAAACCACTTAGACATTGAACCAGATATACAGAGACACATCCCAAGATCTTGCCCTCAGTTCTATGCACAGACTTCTGACTCTGGTGAGACCCAGTGAGAAAAGCCCATACAGATGTCTGTCTTGAGGGTTCTAATCAATGACAGTAGTTTGATGTCATTTTGAAATTCTGGAAGCAGAAGTACTCCTAGATACATTCAACAAGCCCAGCTTGACCCTTTCCTCCGATGCAGACTTCTTGGGGAATCCGAACTCTGGAAACCAAAAGGAAACTGAGAAAGGGGATTTTTATCTTAGGTTCCTGTCAGGACTGGTTTTGAAATGTGTTCCTCATGCCATTTTCACAGTCCGGTAAACAAGTGGCTAAAGTCTCATTCTCTCCGACCTACTTTCCCAGGGAGAACATTATTCCAAAAATGACATCTAGGCATGCAACGAAAAGTAGGGAACTCTGAGCCTGGCACCTGGTGACAGCCTTGAGGCCAGGTCATACTCCCACTGGGCTTCTAAGAAACCAGGGTTGAGCCAACTTGTCCTGAAGACTTCCACTTCTTCCCAAGGCCGAGTTTCCTCCACCTTTCCCCAGAATGTCCTTGTTTGGCCTTCTCAGAACATCCTGCTTTCTCCAAGGCGCAGAAAGGGATTTTTCTGGGGGGTGGGGGCTGGTGTTGGCTGCAGATGCCAGTTCCCTGCCCCTTCCTTGTCTGTGCTCACACTGCCTAGGAGGCTGACGTGAATGCCAGGTGTGTGCCACCATAGGCCACCCAATGGCTATCTCCCAGGTCCTTCCTTGGCACCTATTGACATGCAGCCTTGGGAGGGCAGCGGCCGGAGACCCCCACCGCAGACCTCTTCCCAGTTATCCTCCGCACTCAGCAACACCGCAGCCTCCAGCATACCAAGCCTTACAACTGCCCCCAACAACTCTACAGCCCCATGGTCCAACGAAGCTCTGGGCTTGGCCTTGCCTAAAAAACGTGCCATCCTGGGGACTGGAGCAACAGCACAGCAGGTAGGGCGTTTGCCTTGCAGGCAGCTACCTGGGTTCGATTCCCAGCATCCCATATGGTCCCCTGAGCATCGCCAGGAGTAATTCCTGAGTGCATGAGCCAGAAGTAACCCCTGTGCATCGCTGGGTGTGACCCAGAAAGCACAAAAAACAAACAAACAAAAAACAAAATCCGTGCCATCTGGGCCCCCTCCTCCAGGGCACCTGCCGGAGGAGAGCAGAGAGCGGATAGGGATAGTCAGGGCGGCGTGTTGGCGCCCCACGCCCTTGTCCTGGCGTTGAGGGTTTGGGGCAATCAGGGCACAGCGCGGGGAGGGCAGCTGCCTTTTGCAAGGCCGCCGGCGACCGGGGTTCGAGCCTCGGCAGCCCCTATCGGTTCCCAAAGCCCGCCAGGAGTGCTCTCGGGAGCACGGAGCCGGGAGTCAGCCAGCCTTGAGCACAGCCGGGGCTGGCCACAAAAAAGAGTTATTAAGCTAAAGGCGCGAGGAAGGAGCACGTGAGTTCGAGGGAGCCCCCCCTCCCTCCGCCCTCCTACACCCTCCTGCAGCTGCAGTTTCAGAAAGGGCGACATCTGGGGGGATTGGGAAACAAGGGACACTTGGAACCGGCCACCGTGCAAGTTCAGGTTCCTCGGGAGGGCGCACGGCGGGGTAGGGGGTTGGGGGGGGGGGCGCATCGGCGGCCGCGCGCGCGGGAAGTGGGGGTGTAGAGGGGGCGGCCCGTGGTCAACGGTCGCGCCGCCTCTGCTGCCCCCTGCCGGCCGCCCGGGCCGCCCGCGGGCGCGGTTACCTCTTGGGGACATCAAAGGCCAGGCAGGCGGCCGGGCGCGCGGCTCCCGCGCCCTTGGTTTTCCCATAGCGGATGAGGTCCTGGAAGAGCGCGCAGCCGGGCAGCAGGCCGGCCGGCACGAGCTGCAGCAGCAGGCTCAGCAGGAAGGCGGCGGCCAGCAGCGACCACACCAGGCGCAGCGGCTCCCGCGGCCACGGCTCGGACCCCGCCCCGGGTGCCATGACTGCTGTTTGCTGCGGCGGACGCGGCGCGGCGCGGCGCGCGCGCGCGCGGCCGGGCCCCGCAGGACGTCGGTGACGCGCCGGGGGCGGGGACGACGCGCCCGGCCGGCCCCGCCCGGGCTCGCCCCGCGCCGTCCCCGTGCCGCCACCGCGGGGACGCGCGGGCGCGGGGTTGGGGAGGACGGAAGGGGTAGTGGGATGGGAGCGGCGCGCGCGCGCTCCCGCGGGGGTCGCGATCAGTGTCATTCCCCCACGCCCCCAGCCCACGTAGGCTAGCGGGAGGGGAAAGGCCCGCGGCGACACGTGGCCGCTGCCCCCGTTTTCAATGGGAAAATGGGAACGTGCTTTGCGGGTGCCTCTGAGATGCAAGCTGGAATATCACGCAGCCCCTAAGAGGGTGAATGTGGAGGTTGTGGGAACACGGAGAATGAGGAAGACCGAGATAGGAGACTTGGGTGGTGGTGGGGAAGCGGGTAAAATAGACGTCACTGCGACCGTGTAAACAGTAATAGGGTATAGGTACAGAGCAGGTACACATGCAGAGATGATAAGGATCTTGAACACTTTGTCATTTGGGGACTGGAGCGATCCCGTAGGGCACTTGCTTTGCTGGGGACCCACCAGGGTTTCTATCAGGGCATCCTATATGGTACCCTGAGCCTGCCAGGAGTGACCTCCCCCCCTCCCCCACATACACAAGCAAAAGTAAAATGTATAACTTGGATTTAAGAAGTAGAAACTCATTGAGTCAGTTGCAAATAACACACACGCACACACATACAAACACACACACAGTGGTTAAAGAAGTTTAAATAACCTATTTGGCTTGGGAGCCATGCACGGTGAGTACTCCTGGGCTGCTCTCAGCTCTGAGCAGGGTGTTGCCAGCAGCGGCATTAGGGTCTAAAGGTGAGCAGGGCTCCTGCCTGCAGAGTGTGCTCCTCAGCCCTTTGAGCTGTCACCCCTGCCCTAACAACGGAAATTATTTTGTTTGTTGTATTTTTGTTGGGGGAGCCATATCCTGCTGGCATTAGGGAGGGGTGGGGGTGGGGGTGGGAGTGGGGGTTACTTCAGATCTGCTCTGGCCCAAGTGAGGCCTGCTGCATGCATTCAGCCGGATGAGCTGTTTCTCCTGTCTCTGCACATTCTTCCTTTAAAGCAACAGTTGTTTTCCTACTGGAGTTTCTGGCTCTAAAGGCAATGGTTTGAATGGCGTCTGCGTTTCTCCTTACAATGCCATTTGTGCAAAAGTTGGAATTTAAAACTATTTAGACCATAGTGGGTGCTCGGGGTTGAACTCAGGTTGGCTGCATGCAAGGCAAGCACCTTACCCACTTGTACTATATTGCTCTGATTCCTGAAGTCACCCTTCTGAGCACATCTTGCAAGCAGTCATTATTGTGCAATTGGTGTGCTGACAGCATTTACTTGTGGAATCCCTGCCTGTCATTGGGGTTGGAGCAATAGCACAGCGGGTAGGACGTTTGCCTTGCATGTGACCAACCTGGGTTAGATTCCTCTGTCCCTCTTGGAGAGCCCAGCAAGCTACCGAGAGTATCCGGCTCACATGGCAGAGCCTGGCAAGCTACCCGTGGTGTATTCAATATATTCAATATGCCAAGAACAGTACCTAGTCTCACAGTAGAGACATTACTGGTGCCCACTCGAGCAAATCGATGGACAACGGGAGGACAGTGCTACAGTGCAGTGCTTATTTTCAGTTATGTTAAAAGAAAATTAGCTCCTTTAGGTAATATTTGTTGGTTTTTTGTTCTTGTTTCCCTGCCTCTCCAGTGGCCCTGGAGGCCACCAGGACTAAACCAGGTGCAGTTCTGAAGACTGTGCACCAGCTCCTGCTCTTTGAGGTCTCTCTCAGCCACTAAGGGAAGTAGCACTGTAGCACTGTCCTCCCGTTGTTCATTGGTTTGCTCAAGCAGGCCTAGTAACGTCTCCATTGTGAGACTTGTTGTTACTGTGTTTGGCATATCGAATACGCCACGAGTATTTTGCCAGGCTTTGCTGTGTGGGCGAGATACTCTCGGTAGCTTGCCAGGCTCTCCGAGAGGGGTGGAGAATTTGAACTCAGGTCGGCCAGGTCGGCCGCTTATAAGGCAAACGCCCTACCCACTGTGCTATTGCTCCAGCCCAGTAAGGGAAGTATTTTTGAAAATCTTTAAAATCTCAATTGAAAATTATTGCATACCTAGTATATGGCAGTCCTGACTTGCTTACTGGACAAGATAATGGGTTTACAGAACAGTGTTTCAATGAAGAGTTGAAGATGTAGTATGCAGGGGTAAGGCGACTTAATCCCTGGCACCACCTTTAGTCAAAACAAGACAAAAGCTTATGTGAAATGCTAAAGATTCACATACTTTTTATTTGCTTGTTTTTGACCTACTCCCATCTTGGTGCTCCTGGTACTGGGAATACCTTGCAGTGCTAGGGATTAAATCTGGGGCTCTCACTTGCAAAGCAGAAGCACTAGCTCTTTGAACCATCTCTGAGCTTCTACCCTCAAAGAAGATGAACAACAGGTGAGGGCTGGGGGAGGGGAGTGATGGCCTTCACCCCAGTTGAGTTACTTCCATGCATGCTGAGTGAAATCACAACCATTTGGAGGAATAAGCGATATCAATATTTCTTTGGATTGTTGTATATAAGAGCTTTCAGTTTTTGTTGGTTTGGGGGGCATACCTAGTGGTGCTTGGGCTGGAGCGATAGCACAGAGGGCAGGGCATTTGCCTTGCATGTGACCGACCCGGGTTAGATTCCTCTGTCCCTCTTGGAGAGCCCGGCAAGCTACCGAGAGTATCTTGCCCGCACGACAAAGCCTGGCAAGCTACCCGTGACGTATTCGATATGCCAACACAGTAACAACAAAGTCTCCAATGGAGACATTACTGGGCCCGCTCGAGCAAATCGATGAACAATAGGAGGACAGCGACAGTGACAGTGACCTAGTGGTGCTTAGGGCCCATATGGGGTGCTAAGTCGGTCACATGCAAGGCAAGCACCCTATTCCACTGTACTATCACTCACCCTATATATTTCTTTCTAATGTATGTATTCAGTGCTGTAAAATTTATCTCAAAGCACTGATTTTGCTGCAGTTTATACATTTTGATAAGTTGTGTTTTTCCTTTCTTTTAGTTAAAAAAATTTTTTTGAGATTTTTTTCTTAACTCATGGGTTATTTAGAAACGTGTTGTTTAGGGCCGGAGAGCTGGAACAGCAGGTAGGGCATTTGCCTTGCACATGGCTGACCTGGGTTCGATTCCCAGCACCCCATATGTTCCCCAAGTCAGTCTGAGGAGTGTTTCCTTAGCGCAGACCCAGAAGTAACCCCTAAACATTGCCGGGTGGCTCTACTCCCTAGCAAAAATAAAACAAAATTGTTGCCAGTTATGAAAAAAAAACTATATATAAGTTCTTTTTTCAGCCACACATGATGGTGTCCAGGATTTACTAATGGCTCTGTGCTCATGGATCACTCCCAGTGGTACTCAGGGGATTAAACTGGGGTCAGCTGCATCTGAGGCAAGTGCATCCTATATTACCTCTCCTGCTCTTAGAAGTTTTATTTTTAAGTTTATCTAGGTGCAATTTATCGTCTTGAATGTGATCTAGTGATCTATTTCAGGTATTTACTCTTTGTGAACTTGAGAAAAATAATATGTGACAAATGAAAAGATAGATGATGTTTCTGTTCTGGAAGATATGATATTATTAAGATGCTGGTATCTCCTATATCGATCCAATTATTCACTGAAAATGCAGAAGAAATACCAGCAAAAGTTTTGTAGCAATCAACAAGATGAGTCCAGAATGTATATGGGGAAAAAACTGTTTTAAGGGACAGGGAGTCAAGTCAAAAATCAGGTTTTGTGCCTTGCATATACAAGGCCTTAAGTTTGATCCCATACATTCGTGACTCAACCCCCAACCCCACTCCCCCAGAACTGCAGAGGATGACATGTGGCCTGTGACCACCTCTGGGATAACTAGTGATTCCAGTACTGCTGGATCTGAGCAGCACTGACTGTATCACTGGGCCCAAGTATTGGACTGGCCGGTCTTGTTTGCCAAGAATCCTTGGAACTGGTTCCTGGGTCCTCTGATCATGGAGAGGCCTCCCAAAATATAAAAATGTATATAAAAACAAATAAACTACAGTAGTTGCAGATAATATCGAAGAAGCAAAATTTAGAAAATTTAAGTGATTTTAAGTCTTAATATAAAGCAAGAAACATATAATGTATAACTATAAAGTTAATACAATATATTGGTGTAAAGACACATATATAGGGGCTGGAGTGATAGCACAGCAGGTAGGGCATTTGCCTTGCACGCGGCTGACCCGGGTTCGATTCCCAGAATCTTATATGGTCCCCCGAGCACTTCCAGGAGTAATTCTTGAGTGCAGAGCCAGGTCCATTTGGTCTTCTAGTATATTAAAGTGCTATCTGATGTTGGTATCTTGTTTTTGCAAAAAAAAAAAAAAAAAAAAAGAAGAAGAAAAAAAAGAAAAAAAATGGTTAACTACAGACCATTGTTTCTAATAAGCAGAGAGATCCATTTTAGTAGTAAACTGAAGGTTTAGTTGTGAACTTTAGATTTTGTGAACTCCAGACGTTGTGCAGTGTTTTTTTTTTTTTTTAAAGACAACTAAAAAGAAAAAGAAATCCGAGGAATATGTACACTGGAACTGTAGTTAGTAGCTCTCAGTATTGTAAAGAGATTGTTCTATACAGACCTTTTTTGCTGTTTATCCTGTGTGTAATAAAGTCCTTTCTAGATCCTATGTGAAAAGAGAAGGAGCGACTGTATCTTCAGCATGTTCTCATTGGCGGCGCTATCTTGTGTAATGTAAACTGTGCCATGTTATTACAAAATGTGAACTAAAAAAAAAAAGTACATCACAGGGTGTGACCCAAAAGCAAAACAAACAAACAAACAAACAAACTAAAGACACATACATAGATTTATGGAATAAAAATGA